AAAATAAAATAAAATAAAATAAAATAAAATAAAATAAAATAAAATAAAATGAAATGAAATAATAAAAAAGAAATAACAACTTTATTGGTAGAAGTTATCTATCTTCTACACATATATATAACACGCGAAGGGATTTTTTGTCCAGGATAAAAGATCTGTAGGGTTCGCCCGATTTTCAAAAATGAAATCTCAAATTAAAGCACATAGTCTGCAGATGTGCAAGCTGGTTTTAGTTTTTCGAAAAAAGTTGCCAGCTGTTGAAAAATTTAATTCAAATGCCGCCAAATCCGCACCGTTCGTTTGATTTTCCAAAATGAGGCACAAAACTAAAAGCCGTAGACTGTAGATATGCAACAAGGTTTTACTTTTTTGAAAAGAGTTGACCCCTTTTAAAAAATTATATTTAAATTATTAAAAAAAATAATAAATCAATTATTACAAACTTTGTACGAATTGAAATGGTTTTGAAAAGCTTTGTTTATTAGCTGAACTATAGGAGGGTTACCACCAGCTTAAAAAATCATATTGGGTAAGAGAAATATGTATCACAATATGGGTGCCAAACGAAAGGGGTTTCAGAAAGTAGTAGTTTGAAAATGTTTTGAAAAGGGTTGCCACCAGATTGAAATGTCGAATTCGGTTTAAACACAAGTTATACGAAATATCAAACGAAGGAATGTTAAGAAATCTTTAGCTTGAACGCTACGAATATATTTGAGGTGTTGGAAGAGGGCCACCTCCTGTTTAAAAAGTTAAATTCAAATTATTTTATAAGTGAAATTAATTATTAAAGTATGAGTATTAATCGAAGGGGGTTTTTATTTCTGAACTGCATTTAGCAGGGTTGCCACATGTTTGAAAATTAAAATTCCACCTAATTCATGAGTTAATTAAAATATGTATCGCAGTGGTCGGCGAAGGAGAGTTAACAATGATTAAACTTGAAAATACTTTTGAAGAGGGCTGCCACCTGTTTGAAAGGTCTAGCTTAATTAACTAATTCAAAAAGTATATGAAATATAAAAATACCGGAATCAGAATTTAACAGAAAACCCATAATTTGATTAAGTAGGTTTGGCGGTTAATTAATTTATGCTGGCATTATCTTGTGCACATGAGGCCAGTAAATCGGGTATGGCTAAGCCGGTTTCCGTCTTCAATCTAAGCAATTTGGTGCGAATTTTTACTGGGTTTTAATATCCCTATGCACACGTGCGATGGGTTGATAAAATTCCCAGTTATGTATTATTAATAATAATATTAATTTTTTTATATTAGGTCTTTTTTACAAACACCAAACAAAATAAAATAGGCCATTGGATCAGTTTTTTGTAGGTTAACAATTAATGATTAAAATTAATTAATCTTAAAGATGATTAAGATTAATTAATTATAATCGTTAATCATGATTAATAGTTTAATCGTAAGTTCTAAATCGTCAATCCGATTAACATTTTGCCAACACTGGTTTTTCACTATTTATCGATTTGATTTCAATACCCTAAAGGACCCTTCAACACTTAGCACTTCCGATGGGGAAAATAAATCCAGAAACTTTAAATCTATCTTTTGAACTCGTCGGCATCAGGTGAGTGCAAAGACCATCACGTAACATATTTTAAAATAAGTTTAACTCTAAGCGGCTATACTCTTACGACTTAGTTAAAATTTTCGAATCGCATAGTAACTCCGCGGCATTCATAACATACGTTACCACTTTGAACTTCTAATATATTATATAACCGTTTACCTAAAAGTGGCATAAAATGGGAATCTACTTCCATTTAAAATAGTATACCTTCATCTTACTTACATCTAAAAATCCCTCAGTAGACAATTTATCATTTTCGTTATGTATATTTTTTAGCTTTCGAGCATTTATCGCGATATCTTCTTCTTCGTCTACAACTTCAAACGGTACAAAGCTGGCACAGGTTTCTAGCTTCTTAATTGAATCGGGCTGCGCTTTTATAACTGGAAGCATATAAAAATCAGTTATCTTATTGTATATTTTTAACTGAGAGATCTCTCTAAACCAATTGAGAGAGTAAACTTTACTTACATGGCAGCATTAGCAAACCCTCAGCCGAAGTGTTACCTGCCATGATAGGTATTGTATTACTCCAAGCTGTCTTCATAAGCTCACGCGGAAGTTTTGGAATCACACAATCTGGTGTTTCATATGCCTCCAAAACTGGTGTAAAAGCAAACAAAACTTGGCGCTTCAACTCCACAATAGTCAACACCTTCGTTTCCAAAATAGCCAGATCGGTTGCTTTGTATTTCATAAGATATTCCAGCACACTCTTCTCATCATCATCACCCTTGTAGCCGGCTAATTTTGCCAGCGGATATGCATATCTCTCACTTCCACTGTTCGCCCATTCTGACATAGCGGTGCCAGACATCAAAATAGCACGATGAAATAGCCCTTTGGTCTGCTCGGTGATACACATATAATGTGTTGAAGCGCCACCAGCACTCTCACCGAAAACAGTTATACAATTTGTATCACCACCAAAGTTAGCAATGTTACTCTTTACCCATCGAAGAGCTAAAACCTGATCCTTTAAGCCAGCATTGCCAGGCACATTCAGTTCCGGTGAATTTAAGGAGAGAAAGCCTGTGAGTGAAGAGATTGTGGGTAGAGATATACATAGTATGAAATATCTTACAGCTTAATTAATAGCACGAACCGAAAACACCCAGGCGATACTGTATGGTAACTAAAATAACATCCTTTTCCATAAAATAGTCAGGACCGCACCAATCTCGATTGGCTTCGCCAACAGCAAACGCTCCACCATGTATCCAAACCATAACTGGACGTGGTTTATCGGATGACAACTACACACATGTTGCCGAATAAAGATTTAGAATTATAAATTTGTATTTCATAAAACTGGAATGCTACATATATATCGGTATTGTTACTCACATCTCTAGTGTACACATTCAAGTACAGACAATCCTCTGATCCCTCCGCATTATTTGTCATCAAATGCAATTGCACCGCTCTGTCCTTGGGACCAAGGCAATCGAGTACACCATTCCAGGGCTCTGGCCGCTGTGGTGCCTTGAAACGTAGCTCACCCACAGGTGGTTTTGCGAAAGGTATACCCTCAAAACTATAATAGGGCACATCGTAGAGGGTTCTCCGCTTTATGCCTTTCACTTGACCATACTCGGTGTTGACGATGACCGTCTCGTTTGTAGAGAGCCGGTACTGAGTGAATTTATGTTCAAGTACGCTGCAAAAGCAATAAATTTTCAAAGTTGTATTCCATAAAATTTTTCATGGCTTGATCACAAGAAAATAAGCCAATAAGCAGGTAAATATGGGGTGCAGGCAAATATATCGAAAATAAATAAGTGTTGTTGGCAGCGATAGCTTTCGCTGAGGTTTAGAGTGTACCTCGTGCTCTGAAAAATCCAAATAGCATTCGGGAAACCTCAAGTTGAAAGCCTCACTGTATCTGCTATCAGTTATAGCAGTCAAATACATACATATGCATACCTTGGTTACCCCGGGCCAGTAGCGAAAGTTAAATTAAAGACAAAAAGCCCGTGAAAAGTTGTCTAGTATAAATATAAAAGTGTGCAGCACTAAACTTTATAGAAAATCACAATTTCAATGTAGATATAATCGCGTATGTGCATATATATTTATAAGTGACATATTCGTTCTTTAGTAGTTATTTTTAAAAGCTCAGGTATCTACCGCCGGGCGTATGCCCATGATTTCACTTGATCTGCCGTTGACCCATTGCCCATAACTGCTTTAGAGAAAATTGCATACATTACTGAATACGATTGGACCTGCTTTTGGAAAGAATTGACATTCCGCAAACCCAGTTGGAATTACTGAGTCCTAGAATTTTTGCAAAAGATACTTAAGATTAACCTTAAATGATAAACATAATAGATATGGGACCACGAAATTCTTGAACCTGGTTAGTACTTTTGACTCAAAAGGGGTATTAAGTATAATGCTTGGTTTCTTAAACTGAGGTACTGACTTAACTCGGCCATTGAAAATGGGTGCAGTCTTCACTATTCCCTTACAAAATAAGCGTAGGGATTTCTAGCTGTCGGCTGATGTAGCGGAGTTACTAGAGGTGGATACAACCTCAGAATTCGATCCGTAGTCCGAAGAACATATGTATACAAAAAAATGGGCGCCCTCACCAGGCAATGGCAAGCCACCAAGAGAATTTATGCATTGAAAGAGCTTCTCCTAAAAAAAACATTTACCGCTCCTAGTATTGCAATGATCAGTACAGGAAAGTCAAGTTTGGCCCTTTGAGAAATGCCACTTAATCCCACCTAATCGTGTTTGCATAAAACCTTGCAAAACGTACCTTGTAGGCGCTTCAAAATGATTGCACCCGCGTGAACTCAGGTGAATATCTTCTCAGAAAGCCAAATGGCAATTCAGGCAATTCTCTCCTACCTCTGTTAGATATCAACTGGTGGATAACCGTTGGAGAGAGCTGGCCTCGATTTCTGATCAATACGAAATTACTCTAATATTCATGCCGGACATAGCGACATTCAGGCAAACGAGACCGCCGACCAACTAGCAAGGTGCGGCTCTGCATTGAATGTGTCACACGCGGTGAATAGGGAACATGTCGAAAGGATTGGCTTAGCCTTCAATAGCTTCTGTCACAGCTGCGAGGACCCGCACTCAAAGGAGATGACAATAAGCAAACCATTTCCGCATGATGGCTATAGAAGTCACGAGTTGTGGAATCATAGTGGCAAAACTTGCTTATTGTCAGTCACCAGGTGGCAATCTGGATTTTAACAGAAATGTTCACCAACATGGCTGCAGTCTTCTCTAAATAGTTACACAGACATATACGACTACCATTTTCATTGTGATGGGTCCAACCAAATTAAAAACGAAATACACGCCAACGTCTGGTTTGGAAGGGTCAATTCCGAAATTTTCCCTTGATCATAAATTAAGGATGATCTATTTGATTAAAAAAAAACAACTTATATTTCGCTTGCAAACTTAACACATTTATTCTGACCACAACCGCAGTTATGGTTTTTCTTTAAAAGGCCCTTATTTCGCGTTAAGACAAACTAGTTTTTAATAAGGTTAGCAGGAATTTTTGTTATTTCTATTAAATGAGTAACCCATTTAGTTTAATAAAAGAATCGATGTTTCGTTCCACTGGTCGGTCTGATTGAATAGCAGGTTGCAGAGCAATATTTTCATAGTCTAAATAAAATCTGTTTTGCGTTTCCATTGAAAACAATAAGAAAATTTTTTAAAAATATCTCCTTTACCTTTTTCTGAGATATGCTTTCAGCGAGAACTACTCATTGAAATGATCTTTCATATTTTAAAGATCATACTTCAAAAACCATTGCTTTTTTGCGACTGCAAAACCAATAGCCTACCTGAGCTATTTTTCTTTTTTTTCGCATTTATTTCCAATGTTTTATAACTCAGATGTGTATGTGCATAAATACTATATGTCGCAGAAGCCGTAACCGGTATATACATATGCACAATATATACATACAAAACTCAGAGATACTAGATCTTTTGTTGCTTTTTCAAAAGCACATACATAAGTACTCGTGCACAAGTATGTTCACGTGCCATATATGTACATACATATGTACATTTGAAATGTGTTCATACATCTGTACGACATATGTACATAAGTATGTATTATTCATAATCATTTTCATAACTGGCTCTTATCTTTCAAACACAATTAAAGTCTTTTAAACGGTTTAAAATTCTATTTTTAAATTATTATTACGTTATGTTAGTAGGTACCAATTAACTGGTTAGAATTAATCTACAGCAGACCGTATCACAATCAAGGTCAAACTTTTTCAATCGATTTTGAAAACTCACTCTTTGGGTATTTCCACAACCATTGCCTATGATAAAGGAACATCGTGTTGAAAACACGTATGTAGACCTCAACGTGTACATCAGGGTGGTGCTTAAAAATCAAATGAACGATTTTTTTCAGTCTTGCCCCTTCAATTGGTAACACCATTGTCATACACATCACATACAAATTTTACTCCCAATTGGAGACGGTTTAGGCGCGTTGCACAGGGCGCGGAGTTCAGATTCCTCTATGGAGAATCAAAAAATTAAGATTTTTTTTTTCATTTAATCCAATAACCATTTAATCCCAAAATCGATACTACAATGGTCAACGATATCATATATAGCTTTTGGTCCCCATTGGAGTCGATTAAGGCGTGTCGCAAAGTGTTCTTAAATTTATGCTGGTGTCAAAAGTTTATCGATTTATATCGAAACTCAAGGTTATAGATATTTATTGAAAACTATCGAAATTAGTCGAGTTATCGTATTTTGTATCAGATTTGAACGTGTCTGAAATTCACTGAATTATCGTATAATAAGAAAAAATTGTGGAAATTTATTGCCAAACTGGAATGTATCGGGTAAATTCCAAGCCCTGCCAAAGTCCTCCGAAGACCCTCAAAGCTATATGTAAATTGTAATCGCGTTGAAGTACCAAAGCAGGAGTTTTTCCTGTAAGTAATTATGCGCCTTATAAGCTAAACGACGTGCTAAATGAGAAAACTTCTCCAATTATTAAATCGTAAATTGACAAAATTAAAAGGCCTTGAAGAAAAGTCAAATAAAATAGTCGGCTTGAGAAAATTAGTTTTTGCAAATATCACAGATTGGCGATCTATTTGCATTTTGTCGACGAATTTAAACCAATGAAGCCATTTTGAGATTTACATTTTTTTCTTTGCTTTTTATGCATTTTTTACAGCATTTAATAAATTCATATCGTTTTCAAAACTCACTTCAAGTGCCAACGTAACCTGTCAATAATACCGAGGTTAGACTGCATTTTTGCCTACAAAAAATTTTAATTAAATTCAATTATATGTACACTCGATAAATATTTGCACCGAAACATCAAAACACTGTACTGCGCGAATTGATCACCACAACTGAAATTAGTAGGCGCCGTGTTTCTATTTCATAGTCAACAGTTAAGATCGCAATACTCAATGTTTGCATATATGCAAATGCATGCACATTCCCTGCAGGGGAATCGCCAAAAACGAACCAGTCTGATAGTAACTAGATCCTCAACAGTTCAAAATTAGCGAAATGTGGACCTTAAAAAAAAATTTTTTTTTCACTTTTTTCATTAGAAATCTGTATCTAAGGTGACGAATTTAGAGCTAGTTCGGAACTATAGGAAAAGGAAGCAGCGGGCGGCAATTGACACTTCTTAGGACATCGCCATGTTCAATTCGTCAGTTTTTTGAATGCAAAAGAGATTCATCGCGAACCAGTACTGGGTCTAAATGTACTAGAGGCTCACCAGTTCGGAACTAGAGATTTT